AAATTAAATATTACGCATTCACTACTCTTTCTTACAAGGTTGTTTTCCTGGGCTAGAAAATTTTTTATTGGCATACTTTTAAAATTTTTAAGTTCTAAATTACTAGCATTTTTCAATGTTTATTCAATTTGAAATAGTTAAGTATTTTGATCACCATCTTAAGAGCATGGCGTTCCATCTACATTATTCCCTTTGACAACTGGTCAATTGTAATAAAGTATCTGAACAGTGTCATAATGGCGTTTCACAAGGTGTTTGAGATAAATAAAAAGCCAATTACTGTTAAAGAAAAAGATGAATTTAATAAGTGTTATGCGGTTATTTTTACCGTATGTAAAAAAATGTGTAACTACATTCTAAAAGTATCAGCTTCATTAGCATTAAACACCACCTCTCCAACCTGGGAAAGAGCCCAGAGTACCCAGTCATTGATGAAACCGGTGTCGTTGTGCTGGTACCACCAGTTGAGGCTTGGAACACACCAAACCTCGCAGCAGAAGCAGCTGCAGTGGGTACCTGACTGAATCCATTAGCACCACCACTGCCACTTCCGTCAATGAGGGCTCCGAACTGGTGCCCCACTGGGGGGTAGGCCTGTAGCCCCCCTGCCGGCTGATAGCCAACTTCTGATTGATGGCTATGAGCACTATTAACATCATTCTGCTGATGATGTTGATTATGGTTATGGTGATGTTGAGCAATCCAAGAGCGTACGAAGTTAAATTGGCTGGCTGGGGAGGTAAAAAGGGTGTCATCGCTTGCGACTGCGGAAGAGGTCGCATAAACCCTCTCATCTGATTGGCTACCAAAGGCGGCGTAGCTCCGACCGCCATGGGGATAAAGAGGTGATTGGTCTGTACTGGGACCACCAGAATTTCCAAAAGCGTTCTCATCTCCCCCTTGACCCTGTTGTTGCTGTTGTTGTTGTTGGAGATGAGGCGGATGTTGCACAAACATCTGCAATGTTAATCAATTTGTGTTCGAATTAAGAGGAAATTTTAAATCACTTTAACCAGTCTGAAGAATATTCCGACGACCCTTAAGCTGTGATTTAAAACAGTAATCCGATTTTGTCCACATAATACAAACAGTCAGCATTAGCATGGACCAGTCGACTGCATCATGGCGTACAGATCATGCTGGACTCCATACCATCAGTTTTACTGCCCTTACCTTTCTAAGTGAATTGGCCATTTTCAGATTAGTATTGCTTATTATATTCTTAGATGTAGCTCGGACACTTCATATTCAGTCGTTACTAATGAATATTTATAGCAAGCTATTTGTTGTTAATGCAATTTTTTAGTTTCCTTTTCTGAACGTGAGGTTATGGCGAAAGGGTTCATTCCAATCATTTAAAATTCAATCAGCATTGTTCAGCGTAGAGAATGAATCGATTCAGTTGAAATACACGGAATTCCACCATTCGCCTGAAAAGTTAATCACTAATCGACATCAATTCAATCATTCAATACCCTCCATCTTTTGTTTGGAATGTATCATAAACAAAATTTTCTGTGTAATTAGCCAAGCAATTCGTCTATGAGTAAATTTTGGCGTTTGATGCAAGGCATGTAAAAATATGAAGCGTAACTATGCGGACAACCCGCTAAAATGACTTCTTGCAAGTCCACATCACTAGAGTGTTCCCCTTCACCACAGGCGAGGTGCTTTATTACCCCAAAGTGATCACTCCGAGTCTTACTGCAAGATCACAAGTATTCCCAATCTAAGTACACCACTTACTCATCAGATTTTCTCAGGCGTAATTCTCCTCTATTATAATTCATTTGTAGAGGTAAAGAACATGTACCACACATATTCGACTTTAGGCTTAAAAAGAAAGGTACGGTCTTAGATGTAAGGAACTTCTGTTCGAAAAGTTTTTTGTTATAGTTCATTCTTTTTTTCGTCAATATTTTTACAAAGTCGACTAAATAACTAAAAATGCAGAGCTTCCATTTATTAATGGTTGAATACACTCACTTCTGTATTTGTCTTCCTCCTTGTTACCCTCTTTCCTTCCTTCTTCTCCCACGGGAAGTGATCCTCGTCGGTTAAAGTTGATCGCTCCCTATGGAAACCCCCTTTTTTCCCCACAACTGGTGGTTCCCCTTCACTGGTGATCGAAAAACCAATGCGAACGTGTGCGTGGGTGTGCGTTTCTGCGCTCCTTTGCGTATCGATTCCCAAAGGTCTTTCTCTGTTGCTTCCTTGCTCTCTTGCTAGTTGAACGGCACAGTCGACTGCCCTGTGAGCGTAGGAAGCTCTCAGAGGAGTTCTATCAGCGGGAGCAGTAACAGATACTCTACGTGCCGTGGGGCAAATGGCGGAGGAATAAAGTAGAGCTGTGCGCTAACTGCGCTCTACGGACACTACAACGCATCTAGCAATACGTGCGCAGGTGCGGTTATAGGCCACTGGGGAGAGAGGCGCGCGCGCACGTGTGTGCATACACACCAGGCAAACGCTCATCAAAAATGAAACGCCAGTCGTTGCTGTTGGCAAATTCCCACCGGGAACCTCCCCTTCGATGTCCCCTTCGACTCTTCTCCCCTTTCTGAGCTATCTGTTCAGCGCATGAAGAGCTATCGACTGGTTACACATGGCTGAGCGAGTGTGCAGACGGTTCCTGGGAAGCGATTGGCTGGGGGTGGGAGATGCGGCCATGCGATTGGTGAATGGGAGGTGAGAACGCGTTCCCTAGGGACGCTACACTACGTGATTGGTTGTTCTGCCTTTCGTAACATATTTTTTTGTATTTATGCATACAGGGTAGGTTTGGTAACGTAATTGCATTGGAATCCCATAAGAGCTCATTTATTTTATTTGGTTCCTACAGACTTTCGGCTGATTAAGCTTGTAATGTAACGGATCGGTAATTAGGACCTCAAAAACTGGAAACAACGTTTAAATTAAAACTTGTTAAAATTTTGGTTTTTCGTCTCAAGAGTGTTAGATATTTTACTTAAACATATGCTTTTTCAAGCAATAAATAGTATTTTATCATTTGTGAAATTACAAAAGCATCAAAATACGATAACTAGTTCTAACATTGAAAAACCTTGACACCAGAAGAAATTTGACCCAATAAGTCATTGGCACTTACGCTTATGTCCCATTTAAAGTTATAATTTACCTTATGTATCCGCTACCAACAAAATATTTTGCAAAAGTTTTGAAACGATTAGTGTATAGCTCTATTGGTATGCAACTTAACAAGGTTAGTTCTGATTGCATCATTATTTACTTACTTTTAACTACAGGTGGCTCGTAATTATCCAATGGCTACCTTGGTTCGTTGTCATGCCGTTAGAATAAGTTGTCTAATCAAAAAGGTCGTCGACAGATTAATATGCACACAAAGCTTTTTGCCTTTTTGTATTTACACGCGATTTTTGCTTCCGTTTGGTCAGTTTAAGAGCTTCCATCCCAATAACGATTTACCTTCAGTGATGGCGTCAAGGCTTGCATTGTTACCGGCTAGTCTTTTTTGTGCAGATTTATGTGCTTTTTAATCATTTATCTGTGCTTCATGGAACTCTATTTTGGCTGCACTAATCATAACATCCTACCTTTGTTAATTAGACGAGCTTACGCCGGTCGTTTACTCTCTAGAATTAACAATTAAGAGCCTGTTTAAATTAGACAGTCTTCTAAAGACTAAATTTTATCCACTTATTCAACACTAGGAGTTGAACATTAAAACAGAAGCACACTTCTGCTAGCGAAGCTTGCAAAGCTAACCAATTCGATATTGTGATGCAAAAAAATTCATTCTGGTTCTCGATTTCTAATTTTTCATTAAGTTTAAAACACTCTGCAACAAAAATTAGAAGCGTCTTGTTAGTGTTAAATGATCTATGCAAAATGGGAGATGAAAAAAAGCCAAATAAATTATCAGCATTTTACAAATTTAAAACTATTTGGTCAATGACTAGCTCCGACAACTTCAGCAAATAAAAATTTTCAGTGTTGAGGTCCTAGATGAAACGATTGTATTATAAGCTAAAAATAAGGTTTTATATCTTCGACTTTATCAATTTTATTTCCCTTTTAAGAATCACAGGTTCCAAAAGTGTGAAAATAAGTTTCTAAACCCCTATCTGACTTTCTAAGATGAAAATTTAAAAGATCGGCTTAAAAATATATAAGTAAATTTCAAAATATTATGTATAGGTGAAAGCAAATAATGAACTGAACAATTTTCTAAGGTGTCTCACATGGAGTCGAAAACTGAAGTTCGTCATTTCCACAAATGGCAGATTTTATTAAAAAAAGATGACAAAATATTAATTTATTTTGCGAGCTCTGGATTGAACTATGATGGAACTGGTGATATGGTAAAAGTAAAAAGCACCAGGAACAGGCGTCACAGACTTGCAACAAAGTGATCTTTCAGGCATCTATGATGGCGTAGGCACTTGTCCATCACAAGCGTCTCTTAACACTTATGCACATTAAAAATTTATTTTCTCACGAAGGTTGCTCCTCTACGTCTATGTATTTAGGAAAAAAATGTTGTTAGCGTCTGTACATTAGAACTAATCCCTTGTACCTTTCATGCGTGTTCAAGGTTCCATTCGAATTGCATGAAGCTTACGCATGCGGAGATAGGACTTAGACCACTGATAAAATGGCAGTACAACTTAAAAAGGAGGCTTAAGATGATTGATATTTTGCAAAATGATTTTGTATTAATGTAAAGATTCGACTTTAACCGTACTTTGGAGAAATGAGGTTGCTCGAAGGCCTCTAATTCTTCGTTATGGGGTTAAGAAGGCCTAGCCTTTGAAAAACTGTAATAATTATCAAAATCAAATTAATTAACCTCACCTTTCTGATACAGTCAACCGATAAAGGAACTCATTAATACATCTACAAAAAGGGCTGTCGTGAGTGCCATTTTAAGAAGCCTGCTCACTGATTTCCTCTTTCGTGGGTCGCTACGATGTTTTCAACAACTTCAGATAAGGAGGTGGAACCGAGAGTGTCTACTTAACTTAGTAACACTTTAAACGGACAATTGATACTGCTGTTTTTATAGCTATTTATAACAGGCTCCTGTTTAAGGGAATCTCCGATGCCAAATTTGATACTTAAGCAATTTGCCACAGGTGACCTCGACATTTATTTGACGAGGATCACGTGCGGTAGAATGGGTCAATATAAGAGTCCAGAAATTGGCAAGATGAAGAAACCTCCGAGTTTCGAGGATGTCTCGCGCCAGTTAATCAAACGTTACATCAGGGATCAAGAGACTCTAATGGAGAATGCGAGACAGTCAGTCGAAGTGGGCCAAGAACTTATATGCGATGACTGCCAGGATAACAAAACAGAGTCTGTGGGAGAGACTAGCTACCCACTACCCTCGTATGTCATTTTCGCTATGCTAAGTAGCGCTATAAGCACTGATTCAGTAAGTTGGTATGGATTATCATTGTGTGTATTAAGGCCATGTCTCGACATTTAAATGACATCTGTCACGTTTACCTTTAACGGTTTGTGTTAATGATAGTCATATATCCTCTGTGAGGAGAAAGGGGAAAAGATTCGCTTTGTAGACACGCCTCAACATTGCAAGTACGCATAATCCTGTTGATGCAGGTGTTCTCACAACTCACTGGACTATGCCTAGTACACAGACGGATGGAACACTCGGAGTTGGCAAATAACTCCTCAGGTGATTTAGGCTGTGGCTTGAATGCTCATAAAAGAAGCGCATAAGTTGGATAAATAGAGTTTTTGAGGGGCTAACTTAGAAAATAAACAGCCGTTATAAATCATAATAGAGGATCTCTGTCCTTTAGCTTTAGCAACGAAATCTTTTAAGATTTATGCAACAACTGCCCAAAATCACGATTGCTACTTATAAATCACCAGTAGCATATATACCCTTTTAAATTTAGTTATGTTGTGGTGTCAATTGAGTACATTTCAAATATTTGCTGTTATTACCTACGGGAATTCAGTCACATTCGATGGATGAAGAAATGACACCTGATCACACCTATTTTTAGGGAAATTTTTAACCTTCCGGCTCACAACCCATCGCTGATGACATTACAGCAGCTGCGGAACTGCGCCCCCGAAAGGAAAGCACCCTTGACGGAGATTGTGGATCCCAATACAGGAGTCAAAAGTCTTGTAGAAACCTGGAACCGATTTCAGCCAAATGATCCTTCTGTAAGCTTCTTTCTCCTATTCGATGTCTTTCAAACATTCACTCACATATTTACCGATAGTCGTTACTTCTATAGTCCCAACAACCAAATATTTAACAAACGTACACACAAACAACAAGCATGCTACTACATCATACAGTAATTACCATGTGTCATCTTTATCGCTGCTTGGCGAATCGCCACTTTCTAGTTCTGACTCGCCTTCCGAACCAGGTTCAGATAATTCCATGGTTGCGCAAAATCTAGGAGTTGCTAGCTCGAATTCCCTCCCACCAAGGAAACAGTTGGTGTGAGCAGAGTTTAACTTGCAACGACTACTTGCGCTTTCGGGCTCCCTTCTTCTTCTACGGTCAACGCTTCGACCGGTTGACGCGAAGTCAAACAGAGTGTCTGGAACATTGGCAAGCCGTAGTGCGTAACCAGTGCGATCGTCAACGGGCTGAAGTAGAGGGTTATCTAGAGCAGTGTCGCTGCTTTGACGCACGTCTTCATCACATGAGGCCGCCGTGTTGGCAAACTGGTCTCACCGATATGGGCCAATCGTACGCCTACCGCTATAAAGATGTGAGTTAATAATAATAATTGTCTAGGTCAATGAGACACAAGATAGTATTTAAGTATTCGCAAATTCCCTTGCTGCGTTGTGTTAGATGATGCGAAATTTACTGGGTCATGACCACCATGACAGGAATTCGTCACGGGAAACGTTGGTACGCTACACAACCCCTTTCAACTTGCAGCAAATGGAAAGTAAGTAATTGCAATATAGTCACAAATGCATACATCGCAATGTCATGAATTTTAAAGAGTTAATGCGAAATTAGCACAGGATTTGGACACATACTAACATTCGTGTATCATTAAGATATCGGACCAATGGAATACATGAAGCGCTATTGTGAGCTTAGAGATACGCGGGTGCCGTACTATACTCGAATTTTTAACAAATTCAAGGAAAATCGAACTCAACTCATTCCGATCAATGTAAGTTCGTACCATCGACAAAGAAATGGATAAATTAAAACAACCAAGAACAAAACACTAAGAGTCGCGGAGCAAAATTTTGCTAACGCTGCATACCACCCCAGGCACTCGAAGAACCACTGAAGGCTCTCATGGGCGGTTCTTTTAAGAAGGAACAAGTTGGTGAGATAATATCCCTGCTGGATATACCTGGGGAAGATTACGCGCTGAATACTATCGAATTTGCGCGCATTTGCGCTCTTGCTGAACGTCTTTTCTACTGCCAAAATATGTAAGATGTTCAGCTATGGCTTAGTGTCTTTGACCACGTACAAAGGGAATTAAGCATGCAAAGACCTCAAAAACACGTGTTCCCATTTCGATTATAGGAGAATATACGGGGAAGAGGGATATGCAGTGCAGCAAGGAATCTTGGAAATGGCGGACCTCCATATGCTAGTGAAAAAACTGGAGCACGTGGAGCTGATGGAGTCACTGCAAAGATTTTTGCAGCGCCTTAATTTATTTGAATGATTTGCCGGATTTTTGCTTTCATTAAATCAAATTGCTTTGGTTGCGCCTGCGTTGTGTGGATTGGTCACCAATAAGTAGTTTCCGGTAGGGGCTATTTCCGCTGCATGACGCTTTTTTGTCTCCTTATTTCTGGGCCTCACACCGGCCTCCACAAATAAAAACAATTCCCTTTTGTATGCAGTAGGGAGCGATAGTATCACATCATTTTACTAAAAGAACATTAAGGCTAGAAGTTTCACATCTGTTAAGCCCTATTGTTGATTGCAAATGACAGTTTTATCATTCGAATAAAAATTTTTACAAAACCACTCCATAGTCATTGTCCACGCGGTGCTATAATTCATTTATATTTTCAGGACGAACAAAATTTGGTCATTTGACGGCCATAATTCTTGTATAATAGTAAACACAGCTTTGAAACGGTTTTAGCCAGCTATATTTCACGCCGATTCGTCAGCTCAGCTGAGTTTTGTGTGAATCATCTGTGTCTTCAGAGGTTTAGGGTCGGGCTTGACGATGCTCGGTGTGCAGGCGTTGCATTATTTTTCTCCCTCCAACTTAGTTCCTGTGTGGGTAGAATTCTTCAGAGTTTCGTGAATGTGGAAAATTAATGAGTCTTGGCTGGGGAGTACTTGGTGTCTTTCGTAAACCTTATCGATGTTTTGATCGAACTAGCTACGGATTGCGTGCCCATGCAGTATTAAAGTCGGTTGAGTCAGAAGTTTGCAGCATCGAGATAGGCGAGTTAGGATATGCAGGATCGAAATTGGAAGTTCTCAGCTGAATAGCGGCTCGTCGTCTGCCAGTACATGAGGCAAGTCTTAGGTTTGATCTATGCTTTTCTGATGTCATTTTCAATAGGAATGTCGGGAGTCGTTCAAGCCACTAGGCGAAGCAGTAGGATGTTTTGGCAGTTCATATTATCCTCACCATTTTAGACTGTTCTCTGGGTTTCCTTCATCTACCTTCACACTTTGGATTTGTGCTATTACATCCATTGTTTCTTCTGTAAAGTGTATCTTTGTGCTTTGTCTCCCCTTTTATGGCTTGTTCTGGACTTTAACATTTATTCACTGCATGTAAACGCGCTTAGAAGCTGCACATTTGGCAGTCGAATGCCTTCGTTATTTGCTTGCTTGATTTTTATCAAACCGTTGGTGACGGCGTTTAGAGTATTGGTAATGTTTGGCTCTCGTACTTGAGCTGCATGCCCCATAAATTGCTTGTTAGACGGGCACTGCCTATTTTTTTCAAACATGGTCTTGTTGCTTTTGCGTTTAATGCTTCTAATCATGAAGGGTAGAAGTCATACGTGGACTTCCTTTAAGATTCTGAATATGCATTCGCTTAAATGTTGTAGTTTTGTCGAGGTTCGTTTTACGAAGATGGAATGCATGAAATCGGGCAGTCAACACGAGCTTGTAAAGGAATATTTTAGAATCGTGCATGAAAGTATGTCAAAATTTGGTAAGAAAAAGGAGTTCCTGAAGAAATTTGGCGAAACCAGAACTGACTTTCAACGCGTCTGCTATCTTCTCAAGGCTCTGGAAGCCACCAATTTCGGTGTGTGTCGTTGTTTTTATGTTAGGAGTTATCATCTGCAGTCATTCTGCCAGAAACTGTGTCTGGACTTGCAGCGAAAAGCGGTATTGAAGTGCTTGGAATGCCGTCCAAGGAAACGGCATTGAAGGGGCTCAATGGCAAGTCGGACGAGGTATCGACTCAGATACGGGAGCACAGCAACCAGCTGTGGAAATCACGCCAGGCTACGAAGGCGCTTACGTTTTATACGGCTGCACTTTTTCATGCAGCTTCGGATTCCGTAAAAGCTCTGGCTCTGGGCAATCGGTCCTGTGTCTTATTTAGTCTAAATTGCTTCGATGAGGCTTCTGCAGATGCAAGCGAGGCGCTCAAGGTAGGCAATATTGATGTGTGTGGGCATTTATCTGCAGATTTTGCTTGTTAAACATGGGATTTACAGATCAGTCCTATTTGAAGAAATTCGCGTTAATTTTTTCAACAGCCCCCAGTATACACAAGTATCCATACGAAAGGGGTTACTTGGATCAGCCTGTTTTGCTCGGTTAATGATATGAGATGGTGTAGCATTCTTTCTCCAATTTTGGCAGTTCGATCCAGAAAATCCTGACTATTTTTGCGTAGCATTCTTTGCTCCTGTACTACTAGCACAGAACAGTGGCTTAACATTTTGAATTCGTTACCATTTGTACGTGATTTGTCCTGTGATTCTTGGCTTGCGTCCTTCAGAATCGGAGATAACATAGTCGTCCCGAGCTCTGCCCGAATATTTACTTGAGTGGATGACTGTCAAGGGCGTCATTTTGAATAGCACTGAATGGGATCATGGAGCACTGCTAGAAGTATGTCTAGTCATCCTCAAAGCAACTGTACCATTTCGATGTCATTCAGCTAGGCAACTCGCTACTCTTCACGCCGAGATTTAAATTTCAGTGGCTAAATTGATATGAGGCTTGATTCGTCATCTGACACCTCCTCACATATTTATCTGCTGGAAGTGTTACTTGTGCTTTTGTTGAACTGTCTAGGTTGATCTGTATGTGAAGTATGTCGATTACTGTGATCATCAATACCATAGTCACCGATCCTTAACACCTTTTCAGAATCTTCAAGAGATAGCATTTAGAAATAAACACCATTTGTGGTGATAGTGTTCAGTCGTTTACGAATAAAATGACTAGTTTGAGGTGCCCTGTCAGGTTAAATATTATTATGCCAAGCTTCTCACCCATTCCAACGTTCCTCTCAATGTCGTGCTCGCTCTTTCGTTTTGGTCATCGTATGATGATTCGGCGAATTGGATCTATCCGCTGGACATTCAATGCACTTCTCAGATTTTGCGACTTTCTCCATGCCTCGTTTGTTCACTGATCCCAGAGAGTCACCTTTTGGCTCCTCATGTCTACGTGAGCAATTTTTTTGGTAATCTATGGGGATGTTAGACGGGTTCTGATTTGGGATTACTTGAAGCTGAAAGTGGTTGAGGTGGCACCATAATTTTTCTAGAAATGGAAGCTTTCATTCGGGGTCATAAATGATTCGATCCACTACTGTGAACTAGTATGAGTAGCTCTTATCCTTATATTACTTCCTCTTCCCAGTTAGGCTTTCCACTGTCAAAAGCAGCACGTCTGCACATTCGCATAGCCCAATGCCACCAAATACGGGGTCGCCTGCCGGAGGCAAGAAAGCACTTTCAGGAGGCCATTAGCCTTCTCGATGATTCTGAAGCATCTATGAGGACTTCGCTTTTATCATTGGCTAAACTTGGGTTATTGGAATGTAGCACGGAGCAAGAGAAGACGATGTCGACACCCTCATCTCCCTCTGAACCCCTCTGGAAGTGCATTCGTTATGACCCTCCAAAGTTTTCAAGAGTTCAGACAATAAAGTTAACAAAGGCGTCTAGTGATGATAAACCGGGAACTTCTTGTCGTCTGCTCTCTGCACCAGATGGAACTGTGCGTCTCAGGAATACCGGTCATAAACGCGGCTGGGCGGTTGAAGTTACGAGGGATGTTCCTGTTGGTAAGGCCTTTCTCTATATGTCTTAATTCTTCTACTTCCAAGTCCAAAGCAATCTAGAAAAATTATTTTGGTTTTATACCGCCAACTGCAATTATTCAGCCATGCGTTCATTCCGTTTGTTTCAAACACTTTATAAACTTAATGTTTTTATATTATTGCTACCAATGCTGTTATGGAGGATTGACTTATAGCTGCCATTGGAGCAGCCTAGGACACTGCTTTGATGTTCATTTCGATCTTTGATGAGGAGATTTTATTCAGATTTCGTCGTTTACAGTACTGCAATTCAGAAAGCTCCGGTTTTCTTCATCAATACAATCTTTCAACCCAGTTTTTCACTCATCTCTATCCTAGCCAAAAAAAACGAAAGCCGTTTTGATGCAGAACGCGTTATCGTTTGTGCTGTAGTTCTGTTTGCTTGTGTTCCCTGTATGCAGAACCCCATCATTTCGTGTTTTGGTCCGTGCCAAAACTGTCGCTGCAAAAAATGTTACTTTACTATGATTTAAAGAATGACATTGATTTGTTTTGCGTCTTCCTTAATCATATACCAACTATTATTAAATTCAAATTGGCATCCAGGTGATAACCGATGTCCGAGTAGCATTATCCTGTTGGCATCCACAAATCTCACTCTCACTCTTAGCATTAAGGGCTGAAGAAATTAAGTCAGCTAATGAAGCTACCACTTGTTGGTAAAATATGTGAAAATATCTTTCTTATCACGTATTTTAAGCTTCTAGCATCCAATATGTTAGTGATCTTCACGTAGGTCGGAGAAATATTGTAGCTTTATAAAAGCTTGCTGTATTTGACAGACAGCAATCTAACTGTAACAGGCTGCAAAAAGGCTCTCGGAATTGGATCAGACCTTGGCCACTACTGAAATTTGTTAGTCTCCTCTCATCTGGTTCTTGATGTGAAAATATCTTCCTTAATCAGGCATCAGGTTTCATACCAGTATTTCACACACATGTTGAATGTGTACATTAACGATAGTTCTAGAAATGCATTGCCGACAGAGCCATTGGGACCAGAATCATACCCATGTCATTATGGGAAAATTGAAATCTATCAAGCGATGCACCGTGCCGTTTGTGTAATCTTGGGTCAATTTGAGTTAAAGTCTGCAAATTTGTGTTTTGACCTTTCGACGGTGCTAGGTTTGATT